TCCGGTAGGCCTCAGAATGTGGACCTCTATGACATGTACTGAATAAACATAATAAAAAAAATAAAAATTCAAATATGCTTCGTTACATTATTCGATCTTGTCAAGTACTGCATACCAAACATGTCATTATAATTTTTGAGCATGAGAAGCTGACTGCTACTTAAAAGGTCTGGTTGGAAATCATCTATGTGATCAGCGCGCTTGTAAGAATCTTAAGCATTATCTAGGAAGCAAAAGCAACAGATGAAAGAAACACCAATTGCGAGGATCTAGCTAGCAAATGAGGTATGACAATTAAAACATAAATGAATTGCAATGCAAACTACAAAGAGGAGTTTTGTGAATACCATGCTTCAAGAGAATGAGACGATTCACCTGGCCCTAAATATGGACACATTGTACTGCATTAAGTTTCATAAAAAAGAAGGGGACGGTAAATAGAAGATACTTAAAACAGAACGAGAACTGGATAGAAAACAGAAGATAAATTCAAGTGAAAAGGAAACGTAAACACAAGATGGGAAAAATGGAGGACGAGCTCAAGACAAATTCAACAAATTTACTTAGCAGGAAAATGAAATAACACACTCATCAATCTTTAATTCTCTACTGTAGAAGAAAGCAGAATTGGAAATTAAGAAAAAGGAAAGCACGTGTATCAAACAATTTGCGATAATAAATAAATGGTTCAGACACCAAGACAAAAATTTAAACAAATGAATTTTCCACTCAAACAACTCAAACTTTTAAACAAGGTGGGTTAACATGGTATTGACACACAAAAATTAGGTGGCGTGTTGAACCACCTAAGGGGAATAAACAGAACAAGAACCCAATAACTTAGCGATTAAAAACAACGATATGGTATAAGGAAGCCATCCCAGTACAGATAAGCATGTTTGGACAAGTATAAAATCCACGAAGAAGAATGGATGCCACCCAAACTTAATCATATTGCTTCCACCAGTTTTCTTTTCCTATTCTGTTTTAGTGCTTATAGGCTTATTTATAGCCATTAGCTGTTCAATTTCCCAAAAATAATTAACAATATATCTGTGAATTTATTACTTATTATGCCACCAAAGCTATTTCCTGATCATATGAAATTCTAAACAACTATATAGTCCTATGATGCTCGGACTTGGGTACGGGTATCAGGTACGGGTACGTATCTAAGTGTTAGATCTTTCATTTTCTAAAATATAAGATACGGAAATATGGCTAAAAAGAGTCTAAATTCCGGACATAGGTACATGAGTATGCCTTTCAAACTTCAAATTTTTTTTTTTACTAACCCAAAATGTAGACCAAAATCAATTGTTCACAAAGAAGGAGATAAATATTGAATAAGGCATTAAGATGAATAAAATAGAATTTTGGGGTTTAGTTTTTAATTATAGACAGTTAGTTACTAAATGTTATATAAAATAGAAAATGAGGGAATTAATTGCAATTTGGACTTAGTGGAACATTAAATAGCACTATGATGTAGGATCAATGGAAGTGCCCTCACAGTTAATAATAAGTAGCAATCAGTATGATAATGGAACTAAGCAAGAAGACAACAGCAGTCCAGCAGAGAACTTGTAAAGCAGAAGAAGAGAAGGAGAAACAGACAGCAGCAAAGGGGAAGAAGAATGCAGTGAAGGGGAGAAAAACGTTCGTGTCCGTCAATAATTTTATTCATTCATCAACTGTCCCACTACAATGAAAAAACCCATATAAATAGTAAAGCATAACCTTACTATTGATGGGCTTGGGTCAACCCAATAATACAAGCCCAATAATAAAAATAAATAAATAATGAAAAATTCCATAATAGAAAAATGATGTCCGCATCACACTATATGAAACTCATTTTCATTTTATACAAAGAAAACTCTAAACCATCGATACAGAGAATAAAAGAAGGAAAAGGGAAAGAAATAAGGAAAAAAGGGAAAATCTAGTACCGCCGCCTTCCTCTATCCTCTCGACGACAACGCTAGGTTTACAGAGAGCAGAAACGGGAAAGAAAAAAAAAGAAAGAAGCAAAAATGACGAAGTGTCCGATTGAAACTTGAAAGATCCGACACATATCTCATGCCCATGCCCATGCCCATATCGTGTCGTGTCGTGTCGAGTCGAGTACTTCGTCCATTTTGAAGAGTTCGAGCATCAAAGATATAGTCTGCATGCACTAATTCTATTTTCAAAAAGAAAAAAGAATTTATAACCAGACAAAAGTGTGACGAATCCCTTTGGCTCTTCAAACCTATCTAGCTGTGAGTATTGCAGTAATATAGCTGTTTTCACCATCTTGAGCAAACTAACATTATTCTTGAATAGCTTAACCTGCTAAATTTAATTTCATAAGAAAATACTCACATGCCATCATTAGGTTTCAGACTTTGTGGTAACATGCGGAAAAGGAAAAGCACCTCTAAAGTATACCCTGCGTACATAGGCAAGGTCAGTGCACTACGAAATATGGCAAGCTTGCAACACATGAAATAGTCCTTTTACCCTTCTATAACGTAATTTTTACTTCATTTGTATATCTCCATGAAACCAAATGAAGGAAAATCATTTTTGGGAAACATTCATCATTTTCCTTTGGTGACCAAACAAGCTATGCATTTCTAGCCGTTCAAATCATCCTGCTTGTTATCTAAAATAGGAAAAAGTATGAAAAAGAAGTGTCCATAAATCGAGTCTCAGTACGAGTTAGTTAAGCGTGTGTAAGTGATTTCAGTGAAACAACTTTAGAGTTCACAGTATATTTGATTTTTTTCATTTACAGTTCTTCATTTGCAAGCTTGGTTGATTAATCTTATGTTTCTAAAGTAGAGTTCAGTCCTCGTAGAAGATGGACATCTCTTAAGCTTATCAAAATTCATATATTACTCTCTGATCAATGGAGGCAAGATAATTATGCAATTTTGGAGAGTTTGGCAACAACTGTGTAATGCAATCTAACCCCACATTCTAAAGCCGAAGGAACAAATGACCAAGATTTCTTCCCTTCCACTATTATTTTTTAAAAATTCCAGGACCCTCATTTAACGATCAGCTTTTAAGACCAAATTAGGCCAACGGCCAACATCCCAAATATTCAAGTACAGCCTATTTCTCCTATAGGAAACTAAGAAGGCAAGCTCTAGAATGAAATAAAAAATTAAATTTCTCATCATATCAGGAAAAGGTGAAACAAAAGGGATTCTTCCACAATAAACAAGCCAAATGGAAACATAAGCACCCGTCATGGTGCTTCATATTCAATATATTCTATTTGTGAATCAAACAGAATGAAATTTAACATGAAATGCTTGGCCCAAAGGAACGCCAAATAATTTCCTGGCAGTTGACAGTACATACAAATGATAAGACAGGCACAATTAGAAAAGAAAAAAATAATAGTGCCTAGAGCCAAACAAGTGGCACACGATATCATGTTTGTGCCAATGAAGTCCTAATCACTAAGTTGTTTTATAATATGCCCATTTCTGATAAAGAAAAGCAGCCAACTGAAGACCAGAGAGAGAAGGAAGGCTTTATTTTGAAGACTGAACAACTCACCTGACCTGCTAAAGAAGATAAAGAATAACATGAAAAGCAAACCATGTCTCATTCTCAATAAATATAGGGATTCATTTCATTACATGTGACCATGCTTTTCGTTGACTATCAACCTAACACAATCCTCCATCTAGGATTGAGCTTTAAAGAAGACAATGACAATCCCAATAAATTCCTATTGTATGTGGCAGACTTGGTCTTTGTGGTATTACATCTATATCTTTGTCCCTTTCGTCTTTCTAATTGCTTGTCCTCAAAATTTTATTTTGAGCAGTTGGGTGCTATCAGGTCGGGATGGTAACTTTGAGCAGGTTTATAATTGTCTCTATTAGAACAAGGACTAAACTCTAAAGCCAACTTCCTGGGCTTTGTGGTTTCCTAATTTTTACTCCTTGTAAGCTGCAGAAATATCAGTTCAGCTCTCTTCTTTGACTAATGATGCGTTTTTCTCTTTTGCTTGATGCCCAAGGCCCTAGCTATTCTGTAGATTCTCCACTCCCCTTTCTTAAATGTGCTTTTAATTTCTAGCTGACAGAAGAAATAAAGATAGGTGACTTAGATGGGTGGTTCATTTTGTCACAGAGGAATATTACATCCTAGATGACAGCCAATTCATGGTATCAAAAGCACCCGATAGCACAGCCTCTAGAATCCAAGGGACTGCAAAGGAAAATGAAAGAAAGAACAAAACAACAAGCTAATAGCCAGGCAAGCTGGTTAATATTATAAGGTCTCAGATGAAAAATAGCCACCATACCTGATTAGTCTGTCTTCTTCGATGTACAGCCACTCCAGCAAATCCTACCACCACATATCCATATTGCATGTGCAGATATGAAGATTGAATTCAAAAGGAAAAGATGTGCCTTGAATTCAATGCTATTAACACCGCAAACGAAACCTTTTATACCAAACTTCATCAAGAATGCTTTAAATATGCCTCTTGGCTCATAAAAAACTAGATCCAAGATAGAAAGGCAGTAATTTATTTTTCTTCTGGAGCAATCAATGAAGTTTTAAAATTTGAACTGATCATAACGTTGGCAGGAATAAGCATAAATAACATGTTTAGGTCAAACAAGGAATTTGTCAGTTTCAGGTCCGTGGAGATACGACTCGTTTTTGAAAGAAAAGGCAATAGAGGAGATGGATTCTTTCTCATTTATCACCAAAAAAAAAAAGAAAAAAAGAAAGAAAGAAAGAAAGACGACTGCAACAAGTTTAGTCTGTCGAAATGAGAAAGATGATTGTCAACGAGAAAGATGAAATGAGACGATTTTCAATGTGAAACAAGATCGATGGCCGATAAAAAATTTATTGCAACTAAACCAAAATAAGAATTCCTCGATTTTGTCACATGAAATCTCACATACAGATTAATAATTTAATATTTAAACCCTCTACTTCTTCTTCTCTCTTTATGCAAGAGCCATAGATGATCGTCAAACTTCAAGATACTGCAAATTAAAGAATTAAATGTAATAGACCGAATCTATGAAAATAATAGAAGAACAGGTTAACAATCAGAAATGATTTGAAAGTTAAAACAAAATAAAAGGACAAACCAAATATGGCAATATGTATACTCAAAACAAGTTCTTATTTTATATTATAAATTCATATTTATTTTCATTCAGTAAGTAACCTGTCCATTCTCAACATCAAGACCATACAACACGCCAGCATATTTTTCAGTCAAGCCATTGAAGAAATTCTCTTTCAACTTGATGAATGTACAAGAAGTAAGCAAACTATCAGAACCAGCTTGATGACAAATGCCAACGCGCTCCACTTCTAAAAGCTCTGCAAGGTTGTTCAGTCCACCGTGAAGGCTGTTGCAGAACCGAATCAGATGCTTGATATCATAGACAATTGGGAAGTACATCTTGATCAGATCCAAGTATCCCGCCTGAGTATCTGGTAGACTCTGGCAAGTCAACAGCTTCAGCAAGTACCCAAAATCATAGGCACTATGAAAAGTCACCCAATGCACATTATCATTCAACACTATCCCCGATGACATCAGAAGCTCGCTAAAGCGATAAGCATCAATACCCTGCTCAATATTTTTCTCGAAATCAATGCCACTATGAGTTAACAGCTCTATAGAGTCATGTGCATAAACATCCTCATCACGATCAAACTCGCGAAAGTTGAATTGCCAAATACAGTATTTACCAGTTCCACACGTGGGAAGGTTTCCCTTCTCATCAGAAAAAGTGAGGCCTAACTGAATTAGCTTGAGAAGATCCACGTTGGCCTTCAGTGTGTGAAAATGATACTCAGACGAGCTCTTGAAATTGCCCAAGGGACGAAGAACAATACCCGGAAACTCAGTGTCCATAGCAATGTAAGGGAAGCCATCTACGATATCGCGAATCAAAGCAAACTCATATTCCAGATTGTCATTCCAGACCTCCCTTATATGAATTGTATCGCTAGTAGGCAAAACAGTCATTTCCTCATGAAATTTACACCAAATAACGAATCATGAAACGCCTAAAATCCATCAAACCTAAATCTGCAGAAAGCTAAAATACCCAAGAATTCAGAATATATATATAT